ATTTGTGAGGAACTTAGCTCAATTAATTTTCTCAACAACCCAGGATGTATGGAAGAGAGACTGAGCACTTTGTGCTGCAGTGATTGAAGTATTTTTCAAGATGTAAGAAGCACGGTATAAATGACGGAATGCTGGGCTGTGAGTTAAGAGAGAGTGATTAAGGGACTTGAGCAAGGTCTTTCCGGTACTCAGAAGTGGAATCAGGGGCTCAAATCCACATCTCCTGATTGTTAGTGTTTCTTTCCAAAATATTATGGAGCTTCAGATTCCTTTCCTCTTTAAAATATATCGAAACAGGAGTCAACAGTCCCTGTCTTTACTTCCTTTATTGCTTAATTACTGCTCAAATCACTTTAATCAAGACTCTGCTTACATGTCTGCACTGAAGCTATCTGTTTTTAAAAACCTGCCTGACTGTAGTTTCAGCTACTTGGAAAGATGATGGAGGAGGATTTCTTGAGCCCAGGAGTTCAGGGCCAGACTGGACAACATAGAAAAAAAATCATCTTGAGTGACTGCCCAATTTATCAAAATATTTTTCTTTATAGTTTGTGCATCTATGGGGTTAAAAAAATCATAGCCAGCCCAATCAAGATCATAAAGATTTTCTCTTCTTTTTAAGATGAGAACCTTAAAGTTTTGCTTTTAATACTTGGGTTTTTACTTGGCCTGGAGTTAATTTTTTTGCTTCATGCTGCAAAGAAGGGGTTCAATATGCCTTTCTGATTGAATATCCTATTTCTTCAGTATTGTTTATCCCATTAGACTACCTCTTTACAGCCACCCTGTTTTAATTGATAGGGTTTATAATATGCCTTAATATCTAATAGTGCTAGCCTTCTTCTCATTGTTCTTCTTTTTCAGAGTTTTTGTAGCTAATTATGTTTATTTTTCCATATGTACTATAGTATCAACTTGTCAAAAAGCCTCAACAAAAAAGTTTTTGGTATTTTCATTGGGATTATATGAAATTTTTAAGTTAACTGAAGGAAAATTGACATATTTTGCTTGAGATTTCTCTTATCCACAACATGGTAGTTTTTCCATTTGTATAAATCTTTTGTATGCTTCATTAATATTTGAAAAGTTTTCTTTATGTAGTTCCTGTATATTTTTTATTAGGTTACTACAAGATACATTATCTTTCTGTGTTGCTACAGGGAGTTAGGTCTTTCCTTATATCTTCTTTCTGCTTATTTGTAACATGGAAGCTGTTGACTTTTGCTCCACTTGCTGAATTTTCTTACAGCTTTTTATGATTTCTAAATTAATATTCTTTGGATTTCCAGGTATTTAATAATATTATCTGCAGATATTAAGTTTGCTTCCTTCTTTTTAAGTGACCACTGATTTCTTTCTTTTGTTTCACTGCATTGTCTGTGTTGAGAAAAAAATAATAGTGATATTAGGCATCCTTGTCTTGATACTCACTTCAGTGATGAATTGGTTTTCTATTCCTGTCTAACAAATTACCTCAAACTTGGCAGCTTAAAAGAGCATGCATCTAGCAGCTCGGTTTCCATGTATCAGGAACCCAGGCACGGCTTAGCTGGGTGTTCTGCCAGGACTTCATAAAGTTGCAATGAAGATATTGGCTAGGTTATGTTAATTTCTGAAGCTCAGAGTCCTCTTCTAAGCTTAAGTGGTTGTTGGCAGAATTCTGTTCCTTGCAGATGTGGGAAGGAAGTCCCTGTTTTCTTGTTGGCTGCAGGTCTGGGGCTGCTCTCAGGTCCTAAAAGCTTCTTGCAGTTCCCTGCCATGTGAGGCCTCTCAAAACATGGTAGCTTATTTCTTCGAGGCCAACAGAAAAGTCTTCCAGGGAAAGCTTGAATCCTTTTTTAAAGGACTTGCCAGATTAAGTCAGACTCACTCAGGATGATCTCCCTCTTCATTAACTCAAAGTCAGCTGATTAGGGATATCAATCTTATCTGCAAAATCCTTAACCCTTGCCATATTCCACTGGTTAAAAGCCAGTCACAGGTTTTACTTACACCCAAAGGAAGGGATTATACAAGGTATGGATACCAGGGTGTGGGGATCACAGAGGCCACCTTGGTTAGAATTCTGCCTACTACCAATGCTAACATTTCTACAGTTTCCCCATCAAGCATAACACTTACGATCCAATTTCCATTTATCCTATTTATTGAGTTACAAAATTAGGAATAGGTATTGAATTGTGTGAAATTTCTTTTCAATGTCTATAGAAATAATCATGATTTTTCATATTACATCTATTAATTCACTCATATTGAATCTTTCCTGCCTTTCTAGGATAAACTACACTTGGCTCTAATGTTTGTTATTCATTTAATGTTCTGCTGTATTCTGGCCGATAATATTGTTGGAAGAGTTTTGTGCCAGTATTTTTAACTGTCTGGTTTGGCTTTTCTTTTCCTATGCAATGCTGGCAGTTTTGGAATCAATGTTTTGCTGCCTGTATTGAAAACATGAAAGAGTTTTCCTTCTTTTTCTATGCTCCAAACAATTTAAAAATCATTAGAATTCTCTGTTTCTTAAAGAGTTGGTAGATTTTACTGTGAAACTGTCCTTGGTTTGAATGCAGCTCTTTGATGTTTTTCTAAATTTCTCTAATGTCGATTGGCATGTTTAGATTTACTAAATATAGTTGGCCTCCATATCCACGGGTTCTGCATCTATGGATTCAACCAACTGCAGATTGAAGATTTATTTTAAAAAATCACATCTGTGCAGACTTTTCTTGTCATTACTCCCTAAACAATACAGTACAACAGCTATTTACATGACAGTTGCATTGTAGTATAAGTAATCTAGAAATGATTGAAAGTATATGGGAGGTTATGCACAGGCTATATGCAAATATTATGCCATTTTATATCAGGGACTGGAGCATCCTTGCATTTTGGTATCTGCAGGAGGTCCTGAAACCAATCCCCAATAGATACCAAACACAACTATATACATATTAATTTTTTCACTCATAGAACCAACTGTATTCAGGAAGAGAAGGACACATAATCCTGCCACTCTGGGCTTCATTTTCCTCTTTTGGCAACACAGGGAAACCCCTGTTGGCCAAAGGATTACGTTCAATCTCTTTCACATTGTTCTCTTACTATCTCTCCAGTCTCATCTTTTAACACTGTCTACCTCAGTCTCTGAACTTCAACAACAATGACCTGCTTATAGTTCTTGCCCTCCCTATGTGTTTTATACTTCTATGCCTTATTCACACTGTGCTATTTGCCAGAACTGCCTCTTTCCCCTTTGCAATATCGCTATATTTTATCCTCATATTGGGCATCATTTTTTCTAAAAGCCTCCTTTGATCTGGGTTAGTTATCTCTCTCTTCTTTTGATATACTGATTTATACTTATCTGTATACATGTCTATCTCCTCCATTAGAATGTGAGATCCATGAGGGCAAGGACGGTGTCTTTTTATAGCCCTAGCATATTACACAGTGTGTTGTGTATGACAGGTGTTCAATACATGATTTTTGAATGAATGAAAGTATGACTGTAAAGTGCTAAGACGAAACAAGGTAGCTGACTTCAAGTACCTGAAGGATTTTCATAAGAAAGAGACTTGTTCTTTTTACTATGTAAGGTAGTACTAGGATCACTAAGTGAAAGTTGTTAAGAAGCAGATTTAGGCTTAATATCAGGAAGAACTTTTTCACATTTAGAGTTGTTCCATGATAGACCACAATGTCATGAAACATCGACTTTTTGCACTAGAATAACTTAAAGCAGGATCTGAACATCTTGTAGGATGCTATTAAAAATAGTCTTGCAATGTGTTTTCAAGTAATTTTCAAGCTGTAATACTTTGAGCCCCACGGGTTCCAAAGAGGCACTTCAGGATTGGGGATGGGAAAGGAAAAGAAAGCAAAAGGAAACGAAGACCCAATTCAAATGAAGCTCTGAATTTCCTCCTTTTTTCTCTATAATAACAGCAGCTCTGCTGTTTCACTTTCTTTTGATATACTGGGTTTTCAGCTGGTGGTTTGAATAAAGAGGTCCAAACTTGTTAAAAACATCTGAAAACCATGTGACTGGTCATTTCGCTTCTGCAGTATACACATTGCCCCCTGCCACACATATACACTTTAAATGTTATATCTGTATATCTCAAGATAGGTATATAGATATTCAAAGATATCTATTATATATCAATCATATAACCTGTATCAGGAGATCTATAGGTATACTTATATCTGGATATACAGCGCCTTGCACATGAGTCATAGATGCTCAATAAATGTGTTTTCTCTCTTTCTTGTTCTTTTGCCCCTTTGTTCCCTCAAAATCTCTTGAAGGATCTTAATGCTGTATTGTTATTTAGATAATTTGTTTCTTCAGCTTTACTATGAGCTACATCAAGGTAAGTACTACATATTTTTCTTCTTTGTAGTTCCTGCAGCACTGTAACTTTGCTTTCCCCTATACAAAACACTCTGAACCTCTGACCACATAAAACATAAAGGTTTAGTTCCCATTTTCCTGGCTAAGTAGCTATATTGGGAATAGAACAGGTTGAAATTACTTGATTAAGGAATCATAAGAAAATGGTGTAGAATGAAAGATATTAATTAAAACATCGATGGCCCCGGTAAGGAGAACAAAAATGGAGGTCCTGCTGTGTTCTCTGACGATCTGGCATGAGCTGGCTAAGTATCCACAGCAAGCCTATGCCCTATTTCTTACATAGATCGGGACTCTTGGTCCTATTTTGGTCTAGATTTTTGCTACAGATTTATGGTACAGATTTCTCTTGAACATTTTTTTCTGTTGAAATAAAGGTATTGAAACCCTGGGTTCTTCATCTCGGGCCTCTGTTTCTTCCTAATTACCTTGGTGCCTACTGTCCCCGGCTTTGTTTATAAGGCTGACTCATATTCTAGAACAAAAAAAGTTATCTTAGCTGACTAAGGATGAAATGTACAACCCCCAAATCCCAAGCCATGTGGGATATATCCTAGCAGTAGATCACAAGGGTTAATGGTACTTTTACCTCTAGCTTTTCATTATAAAAGTCTCTTGTAGTATAATTTAATGTAGCACGATTTGTATTTTCTCCTACAAGTCTTTTGCTGTCATTATTTTCTTCATTGCTAATACCAGGTTTTTTTCCTTTGGATTCTAGCAGATACCGAAATTGCTTTTTCCTGCAGAAAGACAGTAAAGAGATTCAGAGAGTTACTCCTCAGACTTACTAAAACATGTCTGTTTTTTGCTGACTATAGAGGGGAACATATACTTTGTTTTAATGAGTTTGAGTTTATGATTTATTTGAGTTCAGTTTGGTACCCAAATCTTTCTACTAATTAAGCTATTCAACCCCAATTATGCTGTTCCATAACTACCAATCATCAATATAAAGATGTCTCAAGCACTTCTAAAATGGAAAAACTCTCTTTTATAAAAATCAACAAAAATTAATCACAGAGTGCAAAACTCAAAAAGTGTAGTAGGTCAAACTTTCAAAGTCTTTATGTCCCATAAAACATGTTAGTTACCATTTATCAGTCACAAAAATGGTTAATAATTCCATTATGTAGCTTGGTAATATTACTCATAGCTAGAAAATGGAATGGGACTTAAGTTGGCTTAAGTTTAGGCAAAACCAAAATAAACCATAAACCAAAAACCTCCAACTGTGAGCATATTATGGCAAGATTCTAGCAGAGGTTAAATATTGAAACAAGAAGCCTCATTTGATTATGAAGAGGAACATACACAGTGCTCATAGTATCACTTACAGAGCCATCAGCCAGGATTCATCCTCCATGAGGGTGGATTTCTGGTTTCCACCACTTAGGGTGTCTCTAAATGATACCACTACTTGGCTGTGAACTGTGTACTGAAGATTGAGAGCAAAAGACGAATATAACTTTTTAAAAAATTTATTTTTCTCTGATCTAAAAGTGTAAGACAATTATTTTAGAGATTTTAGGAAGTACAATTTGAAAAGTAAAAATAAATGGATAAAAACCATCCATAAGTTCTCATAAATTAATGATGTTCACATTTGACATATTCCTTGGAAACTTTTCTATAAATTTTTGTAAAAAATTAGGATCATACTAAATATACAACTTTGTATTTCCTTAATGCTATATAAGTATTTTATATATCATTAAAAGTTATAATTTTAATACATGAAAAAAATCAATTGTGATATATATCACAATTTACTTAATTGGTTCCTCTTATAGGATAGTTATGTAGTATAATTTTCTAAACTTTGTTAAAAAAAAAAAGTAAATAACATATAGATCTTTATTTCTATTTAAGTTCCAGGATACCTGTGCAGGATGTACAGCTTTGTTACATAGGGAAACGTTTTGTGGTGGTTTGCTGCATCTATCAACCCATCGCCTAGGTATTAAGCCCCACAGGCATTAGCCATTTATCCTGATGCTGTCCCTCCTGCTGACCCCTGACGGTGATGTTGAGCTTTTTTTTTTTTTCATATGTTTGCTGGCTATACAAATATCTTCTTTTGAGATGTGTCTATTTTTGTCCTTTGCCCACTTTTTGATGGGGCTCATTTTTTTCTTGTAAGTTTGTTTAAGCTCCTTATAGAGTCTTTATATTAGACCTTTGTCAGACGGATAGATTACAAAATTTTTCTCCCATTCTGTAGGTTGCCTTGTTTGCACTGATGATAGTTTCTTTTGCTGTGCAGAAACTTGGCTTAATTAGATCCCATTTGTCAATTTTTGCTTTTGTTACAATTACTTTTGATGTTTTTGTTGTGAAATCTTTGTTCGTGCCTATGCCCTGAGTGGTATTGCCTAGATTTTCTCGCCCTGTCACACAGGCTGGAGTACAGTGATGCCACATTGGCTCACTGCAACCTTCACCTCCTGGGTTCAGGCAATTCCCCTGCCTCAGCCCCCTAAATAGATGGGACTACAGGTGTGTGCCACCACCCCCAGCTAATTGTTTGTATTTTTAACAGAGATGAGGTTTCACCAAATTAGCCAGGCTGGTCTCCATCACCTGACCTCATGATCTGCCCTCTTGGTCTCCCAAAGTGCTAGGATTACAAGAAGTGAGCCACCATGCCAGACCGAGAGTTAGTGTCTACTAATAGAAGACTTTAATTCACATTTATGGTGATAACCCAAATGCTTTTTTTCCCTTGCTTTTTGTTGATCACTTTTTTCCTTTTAGTAGTTCAGAAATTAGCCATCTAATCTTTTTCTAATAAAAACCCTTAATATTTTAACACACACAAATATGTATTTTTCCATCAATTTTTGTTGTTAATTAGTACTTATTATCTCTCCTAAACAGGGAAAGAAAGTAAACTTTAACTTCCATTCTTTTAGGATTTTCTTGGATTTTCACTTTTAGGTTATTTAATCTTTTTAACATTATACATTAATACTTATTCAGACAACTATAATTTTTACTGATTTCTTTCTACATCATCATTTCTTGAATTCAATGTTTCCCTCGTTTTTTGTTTTGCTTTTTTTTTTTTTTTTTTCAGAATGGTTTTGTGGGTTTTAGATCCCATCAATCAGATATACTTGGGGAAGATTTGAATTTAGAACTGAGCTAAGTGGGGAAGTAGCAGTAGCATGCGAAAGACTCACTTTGTTAGTGTAAATTATAGTAGGGTAACATGGTTCTGGAGCCAGATTCTGCGGAGCAGAGTAGAGAACTTCCTGATCCCAGCACAGTTAAAGTGGTGTGATCCTGGTGCTCACAGCTGGGACAATAGTCTCCTATTGTTCTTGACTGCAGCAAAGTGCTCCATGACCAGAGTGGTGGCAGTTTCCCTTGTGGCCTTGTTCTATGGTATTCTGGGAGATACCATAGAATCTCCCAGATTCTACGGAGGCTCAGTCTCGAGACTGCTTTCTCAACCCTTTCAATGATTTTGTAGCGATCTAATTCCTTGCTTACTCTAACCAGAGTGACTTGTATGACCTGTAACTGAATCATGGCTGATCCACCATCCTTGACTATTTCTTCCTCCATGCTGTGCCTCGTCGGTCGGTGTGTTCTGTCAGGTTTCCTCTTCTCCATCTTGCTGCCCTGGCTCAGGCCCTCATAATCTCTCCTGGACTACAGAGTAACCACTTGATTGATCTTCATTACTCAATCTCTGCCTGCTCAAATGGCAGCCTTTCAAGAATGTAAATCCAATTATATGATTGCTTGTACTTCATTACAAAACACAACTTTTCATTTTTTCTTGGCATGGATTGGCAAGCTCTTCAAAGTCAGACCACAATCAATCTTTCTAGCTTCATTTCCTATCACTTATTCATAATCATCCCATGTTCCAATTATATGGAGCTATTTATAATTACTTGTGATTTTACAGGTATCTTTCCCCCATATCCTCTACCTGAAAACTCCTACTGATTCCCAAAGAACTAGGTAAAGATGTTTTCTCCTTTGTGAAGCCTTTCTCAGTGTTCTTCCAAAATGTGGTTAGTATCTCCGATGGCCCTCACCAGAAACATTACATTTTAATTGCCTGTGAGTATCTTTAGCTTATTAGACTATAAGCCATGGGAGAATAAGGACTTCATCTTATTTATCTTAATATCCCCAACACTTTCAATAGGGCCAGTCTAGGATACACGTTTATGGAACATATAATTAGCATAGTTAAGAGGTATATGGGATTTATTTCTTCTTCTAGTATAACAGTAATTCTATAAAAACTCTAAAAATTGAAGGTTACCTGGCATCACCCAGAATGGAAATCAGACGATACTGGGGTAACTCAGAAGATGCTACATGTGCTAGGATTCCAAAGAGCCTTTCAGCCATTATCATATCATTCTGTGTCACCTGAAGAGATATGATAGAAAGGGGTAAAAAATGACACCACCTCTTAGCTAGATAAAACTAATATAATCCCAAAGAGAGGTCCAGATTAAATATTATCTTTGAAGTCCACAAAAGTGCATTCTCCTGTGCTGTAGGGAGAAGAGTTTTCACTGATATTTTTCTTTCTTCAGTTAAAATGAAGATGTATAATTGTGGTTCATGATGATGGAAGTTGATTGGAAGTGATGAGTTAGTTCTGGTTTAGAAGCTGTATTTCCTGAGAATTACACTTGAGGTAACTTCAATTTTTAGTAATTTTTTTTCAGAAATCCTATAGCTTCTTGGAGTAGAATGATTTCGAGGAAAAAATTCCCAAGTGTCAATGGAATAGATTCATTTTAATAATGTGTCAAAGGTAAGCCAAGGTGTCGGTCATACCTTGCTCTTATAGGAATAATTTTGTCCCTTCCTGAGAGATGGAACTTTCACTGAATTAGCCGGGATTCTCCTGTTTATTCTAAATTTACATCAGTCTTTCTCCCCAAAAAGAATAACTTGTCACAAGTATACCCTATGAGGGCTCATTCTTATATTAGCCAAGAAAGTACAAAAAGCTGAAAGCAGCATGTGCATTGCTATCTGGGCACATTTTCTTGAATATATAATAGGGTTGCTTAAATTTTAAATACTCTTGGTTTGTCTATATAATTAAATGATCCCAGCCAAGAGCCATTTTCCCCCTTACAGAACATTTGGTAATGTCTGGAGACACTTTTAGTTATTTCTGGACATGACTGGCATCTAGTGGGTATGGGTAGAGACCAAGTTGCTGTTAAAGCATGGTACAATGCAGAGGACAGCCCCCACAACAAAGAATTATCTGGCTCAAAATGTCAGCAGAGCCAAGGTTGAGAAACCCTGGTATAATTAAATTTTGGATCTTTTGAAAATTCGTCCCTAACGCTAGCGGTAATACTCTTCACAGGCATTTTCTTAAAAACAAACCAATAATTCACAAACATCTTATACATATGAATCAGTTCAGACTAAATCTCTTCTCTTCCCTGGACCTTCACAGTTAAGGAGGCTTCTATTCCCTCAAATCCTTCCTTAGCTAATAACTAAGTTGTATCTGATCCAATATAGTCACCTAGTGGCCAATGTAGGCCACTACTCCATCTTTTCTTCTTGATGCTCAGAATTCAATTTAATTCTATCTCAAGCAGTAACATTCTTTTTTATACACAGAAAAGTAGAAATGCAGTGTAACATTACTATATAAGATTGAGGACTTTACAAACAGGAATATATTTTAGGTATTTTAATAAAGTGTCAAATATCCCTGGCATTGACATTTTCAGAAATTTAAATCAGAATAAACTATATTGGTTATTTCTAATTCTTCTTTACTTTATATAATTATACGATCCCTTTCTAATTCAAAGTTCTATAATAAAGAATATTCTTCTAGTAATGATCCATATCTGGGTAAATACACTATTTGGGTAGACACTAATAAGGGTAATGGTTTGGCCATTATTAAGGGGGGATCACTCACCCATAGTCAAAATAACCATTCTATTTCCAGTCTTGGCTAACTTTAGAAATCTTTAGGACTAATTATTAGGTCCTTCCAGGGACTCGCAACCTTGCCTCTGGGGAAGCATCAAATAGTAAATGTGAGTACACAAGACTGATTCAGCCTTCTTGAAAACTAGCTGGAGAAATTAAAAGTCATCTGAAGATTCAGATTTACCCGACATCTTCAGCAGATGGCTGATTCTGAGGTCACAGAAATACTATGGTGGATGCACATTTCATATAGCTCCTTGTACATTGATCCAGAGATGTACAGTCTCCTCATAGTATGCTGAATTTTTGGAGTTAAGTATCTATCTGTAGTGTATCAGCTGCAGCAAAATACAGTTACTGTGTCGGAAAGTTGACTACCGTTGATCTTATAATAAGGAGGTCTTCTGAATTTCAAGAGATATTGTAATAAGACTAACATATTAAAGATGATTTTTTTTTCCTTTGGAGGAGTATTTAAATTCAGTAGTGGTAGAGGCATAGTTGCTCTTTTTTCTTCCAAATTAATATTTAAAAAGAACATGGTTCCTGAGTAGCTGGGGGATTACCTTGTGACAAGCTTAGCAGAATCAATCTAAGAATAACTTTTCACGAATAATTTTCCAGCTATTCCGCTCCAGACCTGAGTTGTCCAAGGTCGTCATGGTACAGGCAGCTGCTACCAACTTTTTTTTTTTTTTTTTTTTTTTTTTTTTGAGACGGAGTTTCGCCCTTGTTACCCAGGCTGGAGTGCAATGGCGCGATCTCGGCTCACCGCAACCTCCGCCTCCTGGGTTCAGGCAATTCTCCTGCCTCAGCCTCCTGAGTAGCTGGGATTACAGGCACGCGCTAATTTTTTGTATTTTTAGTAGAGACGGGGTTTCACCATGTTGACCAGGATGGTCTCGATCTCTTGACCTCGTGATCCACCCGCCTCGGCCTCCCAAGGTGCTGGGATTACAGGCATGAGCCACCGCGCCCGGCCCAACTGCTACCAGCTATTAACAAAGCAGTCTAGACATTTACATAAGCTTGTTTTATTTTCTTTTTCTCTTATTTTTACTTTCTCCCCTTTTATCCTCCTGGCTTATTCCTCCTTTTTATCTCTTCTTTTTGCAAATCATCCTCTTCCCTCCCCCTGCTTTTTTTTTTTTTTATTTTATTCTTCTCTTTCTCTACCACAATACCCTTAATTAGTTGACATTTAGGTTTTACTTCCTAATTCCCTCTTGCATACCAGGCAGTCTGCAAAGTACTTTGAGAAATGCAAAGATCACATTACTTACAGAAGAGTTTCTTTTATTTTTATTTTTAACTGTTACCCCACCATTTTATTTCACTGAATACTTACACACAACAGTAAAATATCTGCCATTCAGTATAACCTGGTTACTGTTCTATTTTCACAATTTGTTTAGTGCTTTGGAAGTTTTAAAACAGATTTTTAGGGTTTTGACATTTTAAATATCAATATATTTTTAAAAACCAATATGCCTCAAATGTTCTATCATGGTTACTTAAATTCCTAACTATTTAAAATAACTACTTCCCCTAAGAAGGAATATATTTATTCTATAGTTCATCTAGTTTTTAGCTTACCTCTGTTCCATTTATTTTCTGCAAACTAAAATGGCTTAGCCTAAACAGTACATAGTATTTCCAGAGTGTAAAACTGACAACTGGGTTTCCTTGAGGATCAATTGTCAACTGGTCAACACGACGGAGTTGCGCTAGTGCATTAAATTGCTGCAGCATTACAAGATTTGTTTCCTTGAATTTAAGGTGCTAGAATGATAAAACACAAAAAAAGATCAGACCATTGAGTTTAACCATATTGAAATATTAACATTAAAGCTCCACTGATCATTCCCCAAGTAAATATGTAAACTTTAGGCTTAGCAAATATGTTTTCAATTACATTAAAACAACTGAATGTACTAAACTTATATAACTTTAATTCAGCCAATGTACCATTGACCAAATCCATCCAATATTGAATTCTGGGTGATTCCTTCTATAAGTGACATGCTCACTTATAAACAAACATTCTTTAAAGTTACATAAATAACAAGTAATGCAAATTCTTTCAGGAATTATTGATTTTATACGCTTCATACTGATACTAAATCAATTTTTTAAAAAGACTGAAAATGAAAATTTCAGAACTTTATAAATACACGGCCCACAATTTTTCTGAGAAGAACTAGTTAGTTGTTATTACTTGTATCTTGGCAAACACTGTGTAGGATTAGTTATACTGGCTACAGAAAAATCAAATCACCAAAACTGCAATGTTAATGCAAGCATTCTGTGTGTGAATCCAGATGCTCTTTTCTAAACACATTGTCTCCACCCCTAATTATCTTCTTTAGAGAGAATGAAGTGAAAAAAAAAAAACCCACTGAAAAGGCAGGTGAGGAAGTCACGTGGCTAACAGAGAAAAACACAGCAACGATAAAAACTCAAGAGAGAACTCATTACAGAAATCACAGTTTCTACAAATGCATACTAAATAATACAATGACACCATAAATGAGGAAGGCTAATTTCTCAAAGTAATTTTAATGTGCTACTAAAATTATTTTCAACACTATTAGGGGATTTTTGTTAAAATTATATGATAAATATACATTGCACCATTACTAGGTACAATAGGTGAATACATAAGGCTATGTGGTAAAACTGAATGCTTTATAAAGTAGAATATATAACTTGAATAAAATCATATCAGTCTTTTTCTAACCCATAAAGGATCATTCTTTCAAGATATAATTTCCAATATTAACATAAAACTTTAAGGCCATTTTATAATACTAATTTAATTAGTATTATAAAGAATACTAATTTATATTTATATTCTTATAATTAGTATTATAAGAATACTAATTTAAATCCTAGCTCAAGAAAATCAACACAAAACCTTAATCTTCCTGCCAGATAGAGACTACATAAATAAAAGTTAAAACAGGTATTTGGCCCAAACACACAAGTCATGACTAAGAATAATTCAAATATACTACTGAAAGGAAATATTTACCAGAAAATTAGGAAACTTAATCTTCAGTTTGGGAAGCACTTGGACGATTTCATCAAATTCTATGAAAGTGAAGGAGACTGTTGTGATCATTCCTGCCGTTTGAACACTCCAATTCCTATCCAGAGATTCCAGTGCTCCTGAGCCATACAGGGAAAGTGTATCCCCATCTACTTCAACAAGGTATGTGTCTATGACAGATAAACTTTGTAAAGCATTGTTGAGTCCTGAGTCTAGAGGCCTGGAAAATCCAAATAAAGTTTTAAATAAAATACTTATCATACAGAGTATCTAAGAGTATAATTACCTATTAGAAAATCTCTTCACAATTTTATATTCTTTTTTCATTTTGGTAATTAAACCCAGTGCATTCAAGACTAATTTTCAATAGACTATCTGGAAGTTTTGTATTATTCTAATCATATATTTTAATTTAAAAAGAGCCATATTCTGAAAAAAGATCTCCTCTAAACCAAAATTATTTATATCCATGAAAGATAATTAATATTCTCTTTAAACAACCCATTTACTACATTATGGTTATCTTTTCATGTCAATACAAATAGGTTTTCCCAATCTATAAAATTTTCTGACTAGAAAAAATTGTAGTTTACAAAATTAGTATTTCTACAGTAAGAACCATACATGTAAAAATATATTTATAAACCAAATAATAACTGCTAAAAATAGTTTATTTCTCAGAGGTTATATTAAGGGGTTACTCTGACTTTCTATTTTTGAATACTTCAGTGGTTTTTAAAAAAATTTTAAAGTGTATATACTACAGTTATAATCAGTGAAGATTTCCTCCTCATTTTGAAATAAGAAATGGTGAAAAGGAATCATTATATTATATATACACACTATATATACACACTTCTCATCCTGCACTGAATTTGGTAATTATTATTTCCAAGGTAGAAGCCGCATTTTTTATACAAGGCTACCTAAATGATAACTAGAGAGTAAGTGTAATATCTTAATCCAAGTCATATTTTCTGCTTTGTGAATACAGACATAACTATTTGTTTTACTCAACCTCAAAACTTAAACAAAGCACGGTTTTTGTTTCTGCATTTTCCTTCTGGGATTTCTGCTCTCATTAACTATTTATTTGCCCCTACTAAAATCAGCATCTCACTCTCACTTGTGCTGCTATGGTCTCTGGTACACTCCTGGAACACATCACTTCTCATACTATATTATAATTTTATGCTTATAATTTTGCCTGTTATTCCAGATAGCGAGTGAGGCCAGAGATTGTATATTTTTACATCTTTGGGACCCAAAACCAAGTAATGAGCTTTTAACCATGTATACTGAATGAATCATTAAAGATCCTCAAACATTTTACAATGTTGATGCTAAGGGAAAAAACTAAGAAAGCACCCCCGCACTGTTGGTTTATCATACTTATTCTGGAGTTACCAGTTAACCTTCTACACATTTGTTCATTCAATAACAAGCTGAGTAATAATATCAGTCTACTTTAAATGAATACGCAACCAAGAAAATACCAAAAGGCTTCATCTCTACCAGACGCTTAAGACAATACCATTGTATGACAAAAATCAAATATCCAATGAGTACTAGTATATGAATGGTCTTAGATGATAATCTTAGAAAGAGAATTAGTTCCATAAATTGTGCTTTGTGTGATACAGTGAGTCAGATTATAGCTCATTAAGGTTGGTTATATAATCAGTACTGGAACAGAATAAAGGACAGTTTCACTGCCACTCTTGATGAAAAGAGTGCATACTGCTATTACAATACTTGCCACTTTGTACTGCAATTACTTGTTGCCTTATCTATCTCTCTTACTAAACACAGTGATCCTTGAGGGCTTGAATTTTGTCACAATTAGTATAGCAGATCCAGTATCTAGTATAGCTCCTAGCACATGCTCTGCTCAATACATATTTCTTGGCTGAATTAATGAAGGGAGACAGCGATGAAGTTTTTAATGAGTATGTATTAGATCTTAAGGAGGGTATTCAAACCATAAGCTATGGTTTCTGTAAAGGGGCAACATCAGTGATATAGACACAGAATAAGGATTAGCAAGAAGGTTTACCCAGGTGAGGCAAAGACATGTAACGAACAAGGAAGGTAAAGGGAAGAAAAACAGCTAGTTGACATAGGGACGCCTGATGGCCACAGTAACCAGCAAAAATGTTTAACGTAAAAATGATGGGGAATCAGAGCTCTGCACCAAAAACATCAATAAATGTTTTGAGAAATGATATTGCTCCATATCATAGATTTAGAAGTGTCTTGCCTTTCTTTTTCTACATAATTAAAAGTTTATTCCACACAATAAAAAGTGTCTATCATCAGAAAGGGATTATTTATTCTGTGCAAAGGGCTTGTCAAGTAAACTGTTGAGGAAATAAGTGACATAATAAACAAGGCTACTCTCAGGAAAACAGTGACATGGTTACAAAACAAAGCAGAAGTAGTCTCCAATTTAGATAGCTATCACATGCACATTTGGTAAAAACAAATGGCAAGTCTCCTGGGCTGCAGACAGGCTCATCCTTTTCACCAGGAAACACAGCACCTAGTAAATAGGCCATATAACATCTAACCCATTTCAGTTATTTTCTGAATGAAGCTTTTGAGCTTAGCCTTAAACTCTGGCCAATGTTTACAAATTTGCTCCTCTGGAAAAGTGTGTTCTGAGTTCTATAAAAAAATGACTTCGCTTGCTAAACGAAGTCATTTATATTTCGGGGACTGTTCTTCTAGTTTTCCTTGTATCCTTAGTAGATATGGCTGCATCTTTTTAGTTACACATTAATTAATTAATTAATTCTTTCATTTACCAAACATGTCCTGAAAGCCCAGTATCTGTAAAACATGGTGCTAAGAATTCTGGCACATGTCATTAAATCATCTGTATTGATAAGAACAATCAACACTGAGATCATACAAAAGTTTTTCGATATAGCAAAATTATTGCTCACCTTTACTTGGCGAAAGTTTCAGAAATGTAACTGCTCTAATCCTACTCTGCAATCAACCTAATAAACACATGGGATATAATTTTTAAACTAAAGTGACCTCAGTATCTCATTAAGCAAATAGTTTTCTGTGGAGAGCTTATTATGTGTCAGATATTGTGCTAAGCATTGGGGATGTAAAAATAAATCAAGATATATTTTCTTTCAAAGAGCTCTCAATCTGGATAAGTGTTGAGAGGAAGATGAATATATATATTGAATATAATATAATGTGCTTATTGTGATATAATGAATATTTAAACCATATGGACACAGAGAAAGGAATGACTAATTCTTCTAGAGGGGAAAAGTCAAGTTTCAAAAGGAGGTTGCATTTGAACTGATCCTCAAGAGATAAATAGCAGATTTTTATCAGGAACAGAAGTTGGGAAAACAGAATGAAGAAGGGTGCAGAAATGATTACTTTAAGTTCAGGGGCATATGTGCAAATGGATACATATTTTCTTTTGTATGGTTCAGGACCTGATTATTTATGTAAGAATAATTTTTCAACTTTTAAGTTCAGGGGCATATGTACAGTTTTATAACACAAGCAAACTGTGTCATGGGGATTTGTTGTATAGATTATTTCATCACCCAGGCATTAAGCCTAGTACCCATTAGTTATTTTTCCTGATCCTCTTCCTCCTCCCACCTTCCATCATCCAGTAGGCCCTGGTGTGTCATTCCCCTCTGTGTGTCCATACGTTATCATCATTTAACTCCCATTTATAAGTGAGAACATGTGGTATTTGATTTTCTGTTCTGTGTTAGTTTGCTAAGGACAATTGCCTCCAGCTCCATCTATGTCCCTGCAAACAACATGATCTCATTCTTTTTTATGGCTGCATAGTATTCCATGGTGTATATGTACCACATTTTCTTTTCTTTTTTTTTTTTTTTTTTTCAGACACAGTTTCACTCTGTTGCCCAGGCTGGAGTGCAGTGGAGTAATCTCAGCTCACTGCAACCTCTGTCTCCTGGGTTCAATAGAGTCTTGTGCCTCTGCCTCTCAAGTCGGTAGGATTATAGGTATGTGCCACAATGCCCAGCTAATTTTTGTATTTTTAGTAAAGACAGGGTTTCACCATGTTTGCCAGGCTAGTCTTGAACTCCTGACCTCAAGTGATCTGCCTGCATCGGCCTCCCACATTTTCTTTATCCAGTCTATCACTGATGGGGATTTAGATTGATTCCATATCTTTGCTATTGTGAATAGTACTGCAATGAACATACAGCATGTTTATGTGCCTTTATAATAGAGTGATTTATATTCCTTTGGTTATATACCCAGTAATGGGATTGCTGGGTTGAACAGTATTTCTATGGCTGGAACACTAAAACACAGGGCAGGAACACTGAAACATGCAGGGGAGAAGGAGCTGGAAATGAGCCCGAAAAGTCAGATTTTATCCTGCATGGTTCAGAAGCAGAAAAAGGTTTTAAATTTAAAAAAAATAATGAGGTCATATTCAATGCAAGTTTTTAAGCACCTCCAAAGTATCATGCATGGATCTAGCTACTAGTGTTGGGGATACAAAGATGAGTAAGATATGCTCTCTGCTCTCAAAGACCCACTTCAGACAGATAAGTCAATCAATTGTGTGGAGGACATAGTAGGGAGAGGCTGAATGTAGGGGATGAATAAGAAGACCAGTGCAAAAGTGTCAACTAGACCAGATTCGGGCAGAACGAAAAACAGTATGGTGTAGTTGAAATGGCAATGGCAAGAAAATGGGATAGACCTTAGTTCAAATTCTAGATATGCCATTGATAACTGATGACTTTTGGGGCGAGTTACTTAATTCTTTGAGTTTCAGTTTCCTTGTATGTAAAATGATTATAATAATACATGTACTTCAGAGTTGTGAAGATTTGAAAAAATATTCTAAATTATGCCTCATACTTAGCTCAAAACATTTTCATGATTATTAATAAAAGAGAGCATAGATTTAACAGATAATTTAGAATAAATAAAGTAAGAAAGTGGTTGATTGGAGAACGAAGGAAATGGTGGAATGAAGTGTGACTCACATTTCTAGAGTAGGTAACTGGTCATCCCGCCCAGTTTCCTACCTTTGTCTAGTCTAAATTTGTACTCTAAGAAAGCTGATATTCTTCTCTGGAGGATCTGTTTAAAATTTGTTTTCCCATAAAGTCCAATGCATTTCCAATAACATTCTCCAACTGAAATAGTAATTATATAACAGCAGGCAGAATGACATCAAATATGAAT